TACGCAAATGAACACTTGAGACTCAGATTAATAAAGCAATGGCGCCAAGAAAAAAAAAAAAAAAAAACGTGTATTATACCAGATGGAGAGACAGAAGGAGGGGGGGGGGAATAAAGTCAAATGTTCTGCTCGTTTCGCACCGCGAGCGCGGAAATATTAGTTTCTCCGGGTGGGCCGAGAAAATTATGATCAACCGTCACCAGAGACGCCGAGAGACGAGCCAGCGGCATGAGGGACACGGCGGCAAAGAAGAGGAGTCATTTCGAATTCCGGAAGAGGAAAATCCACGTCACGTTTTTTCCTCCCCCGGCTCGGGTTGAGCGCTCGCTTCGGGAAAGTTAGACGGTCTCTCCTTCGCCGACAACGATGGGGAAAAAGAAGAAGCAGACGAGGGGCAGAAAGGAGAGTGGGGGAGGCGTCGTCGGTGTCCCCCGGGACGTCCTCCTCCTTTTCCTTCGTAGACCCGGAGGCGTAGCCCCGACCTCGAGTTTTCAGGGCCGGGCTTTTCCCTCCATTCCGTTGAAGGAAACTGGGAAAAGCGACGGCTTTGTCGAGGAAAAACGACGTTATACAGAGGATAAGCATGGCGCGAATCGAGGAAAATTGACAGCCACCGCGTGGGCCTTGAAATAACGAATAGATCCACTCGAGAGGATTGACTGGGAGAGAGTTGGTATCTTGTGACTACGACGAGCTTCTCTGCGCGGAATATCACTGATTTTAAATAATTCCTATCGAAGAAATCGGCAGGGACTGACCACGAACGAAAATTCGAACTCTTTAGCTTACTTACATATAGTTTTAAGCAGCTCAAAAGCTTAAAAAAAAACCGTTTGTTTTCAAACAACCCGGTGTACCAACTAATCGAACCAATTATCGAGCAGGTCGGGCAGCACCTCTGTGTATAGATGTATACGGCACTAAAAGTCAGGTGTCCCTTCAAAAATGGCGGGAAAGAGAGAGAGAGAGCCTCCGCTCCCCTAGTTAGCCGGTGCATGCAGGTCAGCCGTTGAAAATTGAGTCGAAACGAAGGAGGACAGATAAGTCGGTAAAAAAGCAAGCAAGTGCTTCCGCCCTCAAAATTTCTTGTCCCCCCCCCCGGTCATAGGCTTAACGCTTGAAAATTTCAAAGGCCCTGGGCGTACGGCGTAACCACTAGCATACATATAAGGTGGACGCCTCCCTCCGTGTGTATTGTACGATGTACGGGAGGTTGGGTTGAAATGCCGTGCACCACCACCACCACCACGCCTAAGCCGGGGAAATGATAACGACCACCCCCGCCGCAGTGCCGGCGACTACTGCTTTGGGGTGGCGTGCACGTCGCACTGCGCTACTATACGCCACTGTCTCTCACTCCGCGGCGAAGGTTCGACGACCCCGCGGTGGTGTACTATACGCCCTTCGCTCCCTCTCTGCTGCAGCGATCCCTCCTCGGTCGGCGGCCTCCCCGAGAACGGTGGCGGCAGCAGCGGGAGCTCCGATTCGCGGGAGGTCGATCCTCACCGCAGCCCCGGTGCCACTGGCTGTGCACAGAGAGAGAGAGAGAGAGAGAGAGAGAGTACCGCCGATACCGGCTGGCGGTGGTGGTCCTATCGGGGGGGTGGCTGCCGGTGGAGTCTAGCCAGGGTCGGGGTCGTTGAACGTCGATAAAGATTTTGACTCGACAATGCCGCAGGAAGTACCGGCAGCGCCACTGCCCCCCCTCCTCTTTCCCTCTTGATGCTGCGGCAAAGCCTCTCCGCCCTTCTCGCGAGCCGAAGCTCTATACTGACCTTTTCCGCGCCTCCGTGTGCACGTTTGTCTTTGGAACCTGTACTGATTTTTTATTTTTACAGGGAGGAGGGAAGCTGGTTCCCGCATCGGTTGCCTGCACTCCAGCGCATGGGCTAATTTTTGCGTCACTTGGGTGCACTATCACGTGTATTTATACGTGGTACGCGTTCGGAGAATTCGGTCGCGTGGCTGCAATCGTTTTTCTGGAGGATGGAGGAAAAAAATAATAAACGCGGGGCACAACACTCCCTTTGGATGACAGATCTCGTGTGGGCATTTGTTCTCGAGGTGATTAAAATTCGAGTTTTTTTTTTTTTTTATTTTATCCTCGGACGATTTGTTTACAGGGGAGAGAGCCGAGTAAATGAGTACTACGATCACTACGTGTTATTTGTCCAACACCTGTATGAAATGTTTTCAAGAGGACCATAAAAGCAGTAAATACAAAATTTTTAACGTATGATGCAAACGAGTCCCAATTGAACCGTTAAGGGTTTGGAAAAAAAAAAAAAATTAGTCGACATTAAACGATTGCTTTGCTACGTTAGGACGACTCTGTAAATAACAAAACTTTTACGTATTGTCTTTTCAGATCTACTTAAAACTTTTGCATTAAACACTTTAGTTGTAGAACTTTTTCTGTATATATACATACTATAGCTTGGCAAAACGTTAATTTCTCTTCCCTAACTGCATGAAAAACCTTCTTTTTGTTTCCCCTCACCAATTTTGTACTTTTACACCTTGGCTCGAGAGAATAATTTATTTGGTTGAATTATTAAATAAAAAATGCGTATCTGTACGGGGTCTCATGGTGGTTACGCACGCACGGCCGTCGGCGGGACGCAATTCGCTGACGCGCGGGATAATTCTACAGGTAGATACAAGTATATATTTATATATACCCAATGCCATTAAAATTAATCCCGTGCAACACTTGACGTTTTCGAATGAATATTCAAGATCTCCGATACACGCGTATACATGTTAACACGGGTAGACGTATTATATCGAAGTCAATTAATGCAACAGAGTTACCATACACTACAATGGACATACCGCGTGTAAACCGTGTATTTCCGTTTTCACACTCGGTTCATGCATATTCAGAGGTAAAAATGATGTTCGATTCAAGCCGAACGAATAAAGTGTTTCGTCAAACAATGTTTTAAAGCTAGTGTTGCATCTATTTTTATAAATCGTCGCTTGCAAATATTTTGAAATTTCATTTCTCACATTGAGATGCTTCGATTAATTTTATGCTTTTTTGTACTCTCATTTCAAAGCGCTTCAAATAATACGGGTCATTTGCCAACAACAAGCGGTTTTTGGTGATAATAAAACGAAAGTGTGCACGCATCAACGACTAAAATAAAAGTCATGACTGCGGAATCGTCAAAAGTGTTGCATTCAATAAATAATTTACCTAGAAGTAAAAAAAAAAAAAAAAAAAAAGATCGAGATAGAGCCAAACCAATAACATATACTTTCGAAAAAACATTAGCAACGAGGACCACCGAGCGCGTAGCGCGCCCGCATCATCGCGCCAATTAATCTCCGAAGCACGAAACGCATCCCCGGCCGAGATTCCAAGATACCTCCGACGCACGAAAATCTCAACAGTCGCTCATCGTCATAAACGCACCGCGCATCGGGCAATTAACCGTCCCTTCCATCCGTTGGAATGTTAATGAAGACCAAAACTCCCCCTCCCCACCCGCACGCCGTCACGGACTGCAGTTTCTCTCCTTTGACGCGCTTGAAAAGCATTATGTATATATATATTTGCTCGCGAATCGCGCGATTCGTCATTATACTTCCCCTCCACTTTCGAAGCTGTAACGGCTTCGCCGTACTTATACATACTTGTAATAGTCCATGCAAGGAAAAAAAAAAAAAAAGAAAAACAAGCTGTAAATGCTCGGCTGCGGGCTGAGCGTCTGGGGGCATTAATGCCATTCACCGGTGGCTTTATAGCGTCCCGGTATCTGTATATGTATGCGTACACCCGACAAGCTGCTACTGGGTGTTACGTAGGTGTCTACTTACTTCTCGTGATCGCGTGTGTACGCGGAACGTAATTGCATTTAAGACCGAAGGGCTTCTACGGGTGATTTGTACCGCGAGGCTCTCGTCGAGAGATGTGCATTTCCAACCTTTCGTTCAAATGATCGTGCCCATTACATCGGGATTCAGCGCCCGTTGATCTAACTAACGCCAATGTGGTACATGATTTTTTTCCCGATGCAGCGTTGGGTCGATAAATCATGTGTCGCAGTGTGGAGGAGCGAGCCAATATTGGAGCAAGAGCAGAGGCCGCTCTGGGCATCCACCGATCGCCTGCACACACGCCTTCCCTGTGGCACACGCGCGTCGCATGGCTGTACCGAGTACCCATATACAGAGGGTTTACATTGCGAGTTGTTGCGTATGTTTGCTCGAAGACGACAACGACAATATTCCTTCCCGCTCGGTAGAGTTTGGATGGAAAATACGGCTTGTATGAGTATACACTGTATATTATACAACACAGCTACGTCCACTGTAGTTACTACATGTCTTTGATGTACCTGAATAGACTAACACGAGTCAAATGTTTGTCCGCTCTCTTTGTGCGCATGCATAATATTATGCGCACTTGGAAGTAATTACAAGCTCGTGTGTGTGTGGTCTATACACTCTCTGGGCGATTTCCCAAGTCTTGGACAATGTGATTTGGATTTGATTTGTACCTGCTGCTAATAGCGAGTATAAGTGTGCGAGAGCGCAACGAGATGCTAATGATTGACTGATACATCAACAATCTATATCGAAAGCAAATGACTTCAGTGAAAACTACGGCTCCTTTTTTTCTTCTGAAGTCGTAGAAGATTGAACGTGACGAGTGTGATTGATTGAATGTACAGTTGATAAGACATTTTTGAATTACTGACCAGAGAGAAAGAGATGGTTATTATCATACCATCAGAATGTACTCATTCACTAAAATCACTAATGTGGTTTACGTTTGACAACAGCGTGTTTATAATTATTTTATAAATATTGATACGCATGACTTTTGAATCTGATCCATAATTGTGATTTTTCGGTTCTGTAGATAACTCAGTTAGTTATCGTGACAGATTGTTTTAAACATTTGCAGAATAAAAATAAAATTAACAAGTTAACAAAAAATTTGGATGAAAAATCACATTCTTCATCCAAATGCATAGTTTTCGACTTACCTTGCTAAAATAACCGACAATATGGCAACCTTCTGAATCGTTGATTGTCATAACATAGAAAAGAAATGGCTCCACATCATAGTACAATGTTTTGTGGTCCAGAAAAAATTTGGCTAAAAGGCAAAGATTTTGGCAGTACTGTTTGTATCTTCGACCATCCACTTCCCAGACACCAATTTTTTCTTTCCTAATGTTTAAATATCATTGCAAATTGTTATTTTACAACAGAGATTGTAAAAATTCGATCAAGATTGTTATTATTCATACCTGTACACTTCGTGACCAGGTGGATGCCTCCAAACACATTTTTCTCGATGCCGCCTCAAAACTTGTCTACTTTTGGCATACCTCAGACAATATTCACATAAATAAAGCTTTGGTGCACTACTGTATTCCTCAGGATACGGACTTTGGTACCAGACTGCCATTTTATATTTTCCCATTTCTACTATTTGCGTACTCAGACCATTGTTCCTTCGTTCTAATTCTTTCATGTCTTCTAGTTCTAATTCTGTCAAGTCTTTTTCCTATTAATAAACAATATTCATTAATTCATCATGCACACAGCACTAGCACTATTACTTGAGAGGGTAATTTATCTTACTATTTTTTCACTAGCGGCAGCTTGAGCCTCTAAAAACAATTTGAGATCGTAATCCGTCGTCAAACTACCAAGATTGGGCTGCCGAGTTTTGTCAATCCCCTGAATTTCGTTCTTATTATCAGACTCATTGCCGTCCGTGATAGGATCTTTGAACTTGCCTCGCATTTCTTTTATTCTTGTTTGATAACTTCGTTGCTCGTTCGTTTGGTGCCCAATGCCTTTTGGCGATTTCTTTCCCATGCTAATTATCATTCGTTTCCTCTCGTCATCTCGCCTTTTTCTTTCTTTATAAAACTCTCTGCAATGTGCAATAAAATTAAATTAACTGATATACATTAATTGAACAAACAGTACACTCTACACGTCTAAAGGGAGAAAGTAATAAAGTCCCAGATCGCATGTTATCTAAGCATTTTTTACTCTCGTCTTTGGTGAGTATATGCTTTTTCATGTCTCAGCAGACGGGAATGTTCACCACCCGACTGCTGGCACAAACAAAAAAATCTAACAAAGTAACTTACATGCACTCCTGGGGGGTACTATTATGATACAGGGGACAGCCTTCCAACGTAAAATGGGAATCGTATCTTCCAGAAAGATGTCCACGAGAGTCACATGCTGATGCCAGTGGACATTCCTTGTCTTTCCCTGAATGCGTTCTACTGCTGGAACTTTGGCCTTTGGTAGGAATATCACCACTAACAGATCTAGTCATTGCCAATTCTAATTGACGGGATGTCATACCATGTGCAGATCGTTTATTTGGCGATTTTGTAATATTCACTTTAGTATCAACTAAAAGTAAGCCTAGTGTTAATCAATTGTTTTGTTTCATACATACATAACCAAAACAAAAATTTAATCAACTATAGTTGTTACCAGTATCCGAATCAGTATCACTTGCAATAATGGCCTTTGTCAGTGGCTGCGTTTTATTTCCTTTTTTTGGTTGACCTTTTCTCTTCCCCCTTATTACTGAAGTACTTTTTTCAACATGGTTTTCCACATCTTTGTCAGTATCTACATCCTCACTATCTTCTTCAATTTTTATTGTATCTAATAACAAACGGAATGACGAATCTTATGAGTGTTATTCAGTGTTTGACTTGAAACAGCGGTCAAAAAGAAATAATTGCTTTAAATTAATATTTTGATGGAATAAGAATGACTTATTTTATACTTAAATAAAACGAAATTGATGTTAATGTATTTACTTGGTCGTTTGATTTTTTGCGGTTTCACTGTAGCCACTGAAGTTGCAGCCCTTTTTGTTGCATTTATTACAGGAGCAGGTCTAGGAGGTGGTCCTTTCTTTTTCGACTGTAGTTGAGGATTCCCTTCACTATCCGAAGAATCTGATTCAGAACTACTGTCTGATGTGGCCGTAGATCCTGATGCGGATGCAGAACTTTTGGAACTTGCCGAACTTTCAGATTTGACTATTTGTTTCGTTATCAAACCTAAATTGACAAATATATTATTCATTATTTACATGTAAACAGCAGACTGCATGATGAGAAAAACTACTATAGAATCGACTTACTAGGTCTATTACTAATCAAAGATCGTTTTTGTTCATTAGGCTTGACTTTAACTTGCTGTGGCTGAGTTTTAGAAGCATTTACAGAATTACTTGTTGGTTTCACGTTTGTCATTTTAACAGGTGTATTGCCATCACTTTCACTACTATTTTCAGGACTAAATATACTTTTCTTCTTAAATTTCTTTAGGGCTAGTTCGGATGAAGATTTAGTGCTTTTATCTATCGTTTTCCCAGGTGTCGTGTTGGCTAAAATTAAAACAATTGACATTAAAGTTGGTGGACCCAACACTACAGAAATTTTCAAAACAATCACAGTACTGCAGACATTAAAAATGAACTGTATGAGCTAAAAACCACTTTGAAAAAACAAAAAATCCATCAAGAAAAGTCTTCATGGCACCTACGATCTGACTCACCAGAAAACTTGTTCACTCTATTCACTGGCTTTACTGGTGAGGCATTTTTATGTTGCAGCACAACTGCAGGACTTGGCTTAGCACCAGTCTTTTGTTGTTTCACCACTGGAGCAACGGTGGCAGTAGCCTTGGGCCTAGCAGGTAGTTTTCTCTTGGTTGGTGATGGTTTTGCCTTACCAGGAGATCCCTCCGACTCAGAGGAATAGACAACAGACCTCGACTTTGACGCGTTCTTTTCCTTGGTCTTGGTCTCCACTGGTGCTGTATTTGTTTCCGTTTTGCCCTTGACATGGCGAGATGCAGCCACTTGTGCTTTCTTTTTGACCCTGTCTGAGTCAGATGCTTTCTGACTGGCTGCAGAACTACTAGAGTTTTCAGAGTCTGAGGAACTGGATTCACTTCCCGAGCTCGACGAACTGCTGGACGACGAACCAGAGCTACTCGAGGTCGACGACTCTGAGCTCGTGTTCTGCTAGAATGAAATCAAAATGCAATGAAATAAATTGAACAACAATCGGCTTTTAATTGTTTTGTAGCGTAAGTTTTTAAAAAGCTAACCTATAAGAGCTTTGTGTACACTTACTTTTCGCTTGGGAGTCATGTTTACGGTGCTACCTTTGGTGACTACTGACACTCGGGGATGTCATGATAACGTAATCGCCTTCAAAAAATTTTATATTACACATTTATGTCAAAATAATTGACTAAACACTCACATCGTCTTATGCACAAACTATACCACATGAGCTTTAGGATCGTTGACAAATATGAAGCTCGCACTGTATATATGTCAAGCACACACAGCCAAATAATCAATGGTGCTGCCACCTTGGCTCGGTTGAAAAAGGTGCACTCCTACTTGGTCAAATCATGATAAAAAAGAAATGCAAAACTGAACATTTTATTTACCTATCATATGACTTATTATATATTATATGAATTTTATATATACATAACGAAAAAAAAAAAATGTACCAAATTTTTTGCCTACCAGACCAATCGATGAGGGTGTTTTGTAGGGCGCGCGTTATTTACTGCAGTCAACATAATAGGGGACGCACTTACCTATTGTAGAAAACCGGCAATACCGGTTCCGTGTACCGACTTCTGTCGTATTGGCGACCGCCGGTAAACAGAATTTGTATTACCGGTATATTACAACAGGTAAATGTATATGCCCTCACACTATTTGCATACTATGGTGAAAGGTCCAAAGTATTTTGTAATTTTGTAAATATGGTCGATTTTATATAAGCCAAGATAAGTAGAATATTTATGGTTTTGGAGATTAATTTTCGGATAAAACATAAACAGTAAACTTGCCGCAAACAGCACAAACAACGTCAATTTTTTATTGTCTATCTATCAAATCAGTTGCGGCTGGTTTATAATTGACTAATTGGCTCTACCACAAGTATTACAGTAATAATTATTTGGATCAGCGCCATCTAGCGTTGGGGATTTTTGAACTAAAAAGTGGCCCTAAACTTTTGACCCACAGCATTAGCGCTTAGAGCCATTTAGCTAATTATAAACCAGCCGCAATTTATTTTAATAGCTATAAAATGAAAAAATAACAGTACGTGTGTTTTTGGCGGCAAGTTAACAATATATCTTCTATCCGAAAACTTATCTTTAAAAGTATAAATACATAGGAGGTCGATTTTTGGTAAAAAATAGATTGTTAACTTGCCGCCAAAAACACACGTACTGTTATTTTTTTATTTTGTAGCTACGAGATAAGTTGCGGCTGGTTTATAATTGACCAAATGGCTCTAAGCGCTAATGCTGTGGGTCAAAAGTTTAGGGCCACTTTTTAGTTCAAAAATCCCCAACGCTAGATGGCGCTGATCCAAATAATTATTACTAAAATACTTGTGGTAGAGCTAATCAGTCAATTATAAACCAGCCGCAACTAATATGATAGATAGACAATAAAAAATTGACGTTGTTTGTGTTGTTTGCGGCAAGTTTACTATCTATTTTTTATGCGAATATTTACCATCAAAAGAAATTTGAATCGTTAAAATATGTATCGTTAATGCTCATTGTTGGCCAAGATAAATTTATTAATTGCTTGTAGCAGCAAAGAAGAAATCAAAGTGGTAATAAAACCTTGGATAAGAATCGATGGAGTTTTGAATAGGCGTGTTTTGGATCGTATGCTTGGAGCAGTATTATGTTATTGTAGAGAGGCCAGGTTTATTTCTTACTAGTGTACAAAATCGGTTCTCACCAGTATTGCAACCGTATGACACTAGAGAATTGATGGAGGTATGTTGTTTCGAATATTTTATCATGTAAATATTTATCTGGAGATGCTCAAGAGGCAGGTGTATCCAGTCTAGGTAGATATGACTAAATAAGAAGGCCCCGAGCTTACTTGCATACAAGTTAAAAGTATTCAAATATGATTAAACTCATCATCTCTAATACTTGAAAACTTAATTATTACAGATTTTAGTCAAACCCGGTTGTGTTAAAATAATTGTACAAAAAGTCACAAAGGTTACAATATTTTCTAAGCCGGGTAAAATTGATTTTAGTAAGTAAATTTTGTAAAACAATATGCCACGCTTAATATATTATGTTTCAAAAAATTACAATTTTTTTCATCCAGGTGGTAAGATCCAATTGTAGTTGCAAACAGTAATAATTACGTTATTGAGTCTGATACTCATTGTGCATCAAAATTTGGAATATTCCTAAGCAATAGGTCTTGTAACATCGATTTTCTTTCGTAGCTGTGATTTTAATGCACACAACATTATGTCAATAAATGCAATAGAAAGATTATTTTATATTTTTATAAATAAAAATACTTATAG